TTTCTTTCTACCATATTTAGGGTATTCTCCATAACTGTTTCCACCTTATGGTTGAAATTGGTTGCTTGAATGCAACACTCAATAAACATGAGGAAGCAGAAGTAAAATCCTAGGTGCAAAATACATGGAATGGGTGTTCTTTGTAAATGTTTGATTAACATATATTAATTATACACAGTAATGAATTTCATTGCGGCATTGTGATGCATGTACATAATGTATGTTGTTCATGTTCCACCTATGGGAATCTGTTTAGTACCACAAAATATCAGCTATGTTCAGAGAATAACAAAATAACCAAGTTTCAAGGTGTTGGTGACTACATCATAGAAAGGATATTATTCCTTACTTAGTTTCATTCATTCCTACAGATAAAATTCTGTATAATGAACCAAAACGTACATCTAAATAAGAATTAGAGACACAAAGTAGGATCAAACCCCAGTGCCATTGTTTTGATCCTACTTCATGTTCTGGCTTTGTGGGAGCCTAGCCAGTATGGATGCTCACTTTCTTAGACCTAGACGGAGGGGGAAAGACCTTGGACTTTCCACCTGACTGCTCTTCGGTCTGGAGAGGGAGGGGGAATTTTTTTTTCCAAGAGACATGGCTTGATAATAACTATTATTCTAAAGCAAAAGTATTCAAGAATTTCTAAAAAACCCATTCAAAGTGGTTATAATTTTAATGGATTTTTCCTCAATTGCACGGTTATTATATGGCTATCTTCTCCTTTTTATCTCTCTTTCCCACTTCCGTGAGGGAGAGTAATTATTATGTAGCTTACAACATGTGTAATTTGTACTGTAATTATAGAAGATAATCATTGTCTCTATAAATACTTATAGGAGAGGCAAATAACTGATCGCTGCCCGAAAGCTAAACGCCAGCAACGCTGGCTGATTTGAGAGCACCCGTTCCACCTGCAGAGCCTGTTTGTACAGGAAAGACTGTTCTTCTGCTTTTCAAGGACTACAAGATGACTTGGTAATCCTTTCTTAGAATAAAACACTGCTTGAAGGTATAAAATGCAGAGTTTAATTTTGTGAGCGGGTGATGGACTGACACTTGGGTTACAGGGATGATATCTGTCTTGGTTCCTCAGGGACTACACTCTACCAGTATCTAACCTCCTTTGAGCCCCAGGGTTCCCAGGTCCATGGGTTACATCCACCTGACTGGCTCTGCTTTGCTTGCTTCACTAGGAGGAGTTCGGGGCTGAGTGGGGTACGTCCTTCCAAGGTTCTCACTGGGGACTAACTGCTTTGGGAAAAGCACTTGCAGTCTGCAGCCGTCCCCACACTTTTCTCTGCCTTTGCATCTGTAACCTTGTGGCATCAATCAAAGAGTCAGTTTCTCATACATCACCCACACCTTTTAATCACCCCTATATTAAACATTTTGGAATAACTCTGATTTTAGTGTGTGCTATTTTTTCTGTAGCATTTAGCTCTTTTGTTATTATTTTTTCCTTAACTTCCCCTTAGGAAATATTCCACTGATAAACAAACCAGTGTCCATGCTAACAAAACTTTTAGCCAGAGATATAGTCATAGTAGATAAATGACACCATAATATAAAAATACCATGTCCAATAAATATTTGTATCTTTTATATATAAATGAAATAAATGTAACTAAAGATGCCTGAGCAAGTAAATTTAGAACAATTTCTGTCAATCACCAATATATAAAAGTTACTCTAATTGATTCAAATAGTTTTAGTTCCACTATAAAATTATTATACATAATGTATAGAACATATGAAAGAAGCTAAATGTCACATTAAACTATTTTGGGAGCATAATTCTTTGATGGAGGAAGGTCATTGGCTAATAAAGGCACTGCCCTGGCCCATTTTATTGGTTAGAGGATAGGTGGGAGGAGTAAACAGAACAAAATGCTGGGAGGAAGAGGAAGTGAGCTCAGAGACTCCACAGCTCTCTCGGGAGCAGACGCCTCAGAGAGAGACGCCATGCCCCGCTCCCGGGATGAAGCTCCGACCCAGGATGGACTAGGCTGGAATCTCCCCGGTAAGCGCACCTTGGGGTGCTACATACAGATGATTAGAGGTGGGCTAAATTAATATGTGAGAATTAGCCTAGAAGAGAATGGGCCAGGCAGTGTTTGGAGGAATACAGTGTCTGTGTAATTATTTCGGGGCATAAGCTAGCCATGTGGGCAGCTGGGTGTGGGGGACGCAGCCCCGCTGCTGCCCTTACTGCTTCATATGGCGCCCACGTGGACAACTGCTTCCACATAAAGCCTGAGACAGCTTGGGAAGTAATTCTAGAACAAAATGAAAGCATTGTGCCTGGTTTCTTGGTAGCAGCAATTTCTCGGTTCTACTCTGCTTGCTAGAGGCAAGCAAGCGCCTCATCTAAGAGAGGCTTCCTGACTCAGCTTTAGCTGCAAAGCCTGCAGCTCATTAAGAGGTCCTGCCACGAAACACTTAAATGGTGTTGACCAAAAGCTGAACGCATGCTTTTTGATTTTCAGCCGTAGCAGGAAAAAAGCTGCGCTGTTTAAAAATGCCAGCTTTCTGGGCTGTCCTGCCAGGGCAAACTCTGACTCTTTTACGCAGGCGGTTCGTGCGGTTTGCAAGCACAGGCTGCTGAAGCTTGCTTGCTGGCAAGGACCTTGAAATGCCATAGAGTTGTCACAGTAAACATGGCTACAGCCAGTACCTCAGCCAGGAGGCTGGAAAGCTAAGGAATGGGCTGGATCCAGCCGGCAAAGCCACGCCTTTAATCCTACCCATATTGCTTGGTAAATTAAAGACTCGTGTGGTCAGAAAAAGAGAGATATACAGTAAAGAGAGATTCAAAGACAAAGAAAATTTCTAAATGGTTTACTGTGTGTTAAAAATATATGCAGACTAAAAGTTGAAGTTCTTAAAGTAAAAAACATAAAAAAAGGAAGAGAGTTGTTGTGTGTGGTAGCACACGCCTTTAATCCCAGTGCCTAGAAGGCAGAGACAAACAGATCTCTGTGAGTTCAAGGTGTAGTAGTATACACCTTTAATCCCGAATGCCTGGGAGGCAGAGACAGGCAGATCTCTGAGAGTTCAAAGACAGCCTGGTCTACAGAGTTACTTCAGGTCAAAGATACAGAGAACCTGTCTCAAAAAGCAGAGTTAACAGTAAAAATAAACAAAATAGAGGTTAAAAAAAAAAGCTGCACAAAGATGGAAAATACACAGAGAATTTTGATACTGTATGCTATTATGCTCTCTTTAAATTGTTTGAATGCTGAGGAAAGAGCAAAAGCTACTAAAAGATATTTGTTTATAAATGCTTCTGAACTAATCCAACATAGATATATTGAATTTGGATCTAAGGATATGATACTTTGGAAAGGAGTTTCTTATTTTGTTTTCACAGAGGATGAGACGCTGTTCATTTCTTATATCCCGATATGGTATGATGGACCACACCCTCCTGAAGGGTTGCAGTGAACATCTTTAGAAAATTGCTTCGCTCAACTGCCAACTGAGATGAAACTAGCACACAGGTTATACCATGAAAGACCTAATTAACGACGCCCCCATTCAGCAGGAAGCAGTTTGGAGAGAAAAAACTGCGCCCATGTTCCCAAATATGGTTTATAAATGTTCCTTTACATTTAAAGGGGGATATGATATAGATATGAATAATTTACATTAGTATAGTTTTGCTTTATTGATAGAGATTTAAGGTCAATTTTGCTGTATGTATAAGTGTTTCTGATTTTGATTAAGGTATTGTGATTGTGTAGTTCATTTAAATATGTACTGTATAATTAAGAAGTATAGGTTGTTGATGGATAATCATCGATAATAGTAAAGCTTGTAGTCATATTAGTTAGATTTTCTAGATATATAGAGATATATTTTAGTTAGACATTCTTCATGTCTTTCAAAGATTACAGAATAGGACATTTAATGTTTTAATAACTGAGGACTTTTCATGACAATGAGACACTCTGCTCCTGGCAGCACCAATCTACTTCAAGAGGAAGATGGGCATCGAAGAGGCTCGTTATGGAGTTTGATAGCCATTTGGGCAAGAAACTGCTCTTGCCTGGACTATTGCATAAACTGGACACAGAGAACCCGCAGAGAGAGGACTACTGAACTTGCCTAAGGTGAGATGATCTTTCGGGGTTCCTGATTCATGAAAGAGTCTGCGAGACATTCTGCAGGACACAACAGATAGTGACTGAACTGACTTTGAATTTTCCTGCTTTATGGAAATGTCTGCTGGATACCATGGGCCTGAAGGCTGAAGATGGATGCCCCAACGGTACAAAAGAACTTTGGGTGACTGTCCAGGCAGCGAGATGTCTTTGTCATTTCTAGAGTTTGAAGTTTCTTAGTTCTTGTTTACTTAGGTAATATATCTTTCTGGAGTCTTTGATGGAGTTAAGAATAGTTAGTTATAGTTATAGTTTTCCTTAGTTATGATAAAGATTATTGTAACTTTTACTTGATAACTGTTTTGTTATATGTAATTTTGCTATGTTAAGTTAAAGCCTTCCTTTTTTTTGTTTAAACAGAAAAAAGGGGAAATGATGGAGGAAGGTCATTGGTTAATTATAATAAAGAAACTGCCTTGGCCCATTTTATTGGTTAGAGGATAGGTGGGAGGAGTAAACAGAACAAAATGCTGGGAGGAAGAGGAAGTGAGCTCAGAGACTCCACAGCTCTCTCGGGAGCAGACGCCTCAGAGAGAGACGCCATGCCCCGCTCCCGGGATGAAGCTCCGACCCAGGATGGACTAGGCTGGAATCTCCCCGGTAAGCGCACCTTGGGGTGCTACATACAGATGATTAGAGGTGGGCTAAATTAATATGTGAGAATTAGCCTAGAAGAGAATGGGCCAGGCAGTGTTTGGAGGAATACAGTGTCCGTGTAATTATTTCGGGGCATAAGCTAGCCATGTGGGCAGCTGGGTGTGGGGGACACAGCCCCGCCGCTGCCCTTACTACTTCAATTCTTCTTTACAAACACTAAAGGATTACCTTTTCACCAGTTTCTCCTTTGGTGCCTTCAAGTCCTTGTTCTCCCTGCAAAAGAAGAGCATCTTGTAAAGTAATTATGGTTCATGGGATTTTCATAATAATAACAATATTTCTAAGAATAAAATATCAGTGATTTAAATAGTTTCCTGCGATATGAAGTCCTAAGCAAACACTAAGCAATGCAAAGTCTGAATAGTACAAAATACTCAAGGATCAGCTTTTTTGCATATTTCCTTATCTTCCCAAAAGATTACATCCCATAAATTCAAGGCCCCTGCACATTAAAGGTCAAGGAATGATACCATCTAGATTTGCTTTGAGAACGAAGCAGCACAGACTGAGTTTGCAATTCTTTTTGTCACTAACATCTCATTAAATCCAGACGACACAATCTTCCTTGAAACCTACCTTCCACATGAGTATCTAACGAGAGGTTCATGAGAGGGTTTAGAGTTGAGTCCTCTACCCCCAGCCCCAGCACTTCCCTGCACCTGGAGCCACAGGCTACTCTCTGTTTTGCTCATGTGGTTTACAGTCACAAAAAGAACTGTTTTCTAAGTCTAGATGGAGGAAGGACAGAGATGAGAGCAAGGAAAAATAGATCTTGATTGAGGGAGCCATTATGGGGCTAGCAAGGAACCTGGCACTAGAGAAATTCCCAGGAATACACAAGCATGATCCCAGCTAGGATCCTAAGCAATAGAGGAGAGAGGGCCCAAACTGGCCTTGCCTTGTAGCCAGACTGATGAATATCTTAAATGTCACCATAGAATCTCCATCCAGCAACTGATGTAAACAGAGGCAGAGACCTGTATCAAAGCACTGGACTGAGCTCTCAAAGTTCAGTTGAAGAATGGGAGGAATGAGAATTTGAGCAAAGGAGTCAAGACCATAATGGGTTCACCCATTGAAACAGTCTACCTGAGCTAAAGGGAGCTCGCCAACTCTAGCCAGACTGGGAAGAAACAAACATAACACCAAACTAGTCCCTCTGAATGTAGTTGACAGTTGCATTGCTGGGGAAGACTGGGGCAGGGCAGTGGCACCAGGATTTATTCCTACTGCATGTACTCTTTTGGGGAACCTATTCTCTTTGGATGATACCTTGCTTAGCCTATATATAGTAGGGAGGGCCTTGGACCTTCCCCAAAGCAATGTGCCTTACCCTCTTTGAGGAGTGGAAGGCGTGGGGTGGGATGATATAAGGGGAGAATGGGAGGAGGGGAGGAAGTGGGAACTTGGATTGTATGTATAATGAAAAAAGATAGTTTATTTTCTTTAAAAAATAAAAATTAAAAATAAATAAATTAAAAAGAGAATTAAAAAGAACTAGCAAAGAAAAAGAAAAAAGAAATTCTGAGTCCTTCAGCATATTTCTAATCAATAACTGATCAATTTCTCTATTACCTCGTGCTTGAGCACCTGGCAGACATGCATGGTGTCAGATGTGTGTTTTGTATATTGGGTGATTCCAATTCCTGACTATATCTTGCAACTGAATGAATAATAAAGACAATTCTGTATAACCTGGTCTAAAAAATAAAAAAAAAGACAAAAAAAAACCTGTTTCCTATGCCATCCTCTAAATCTACAAAGTGCAAGTGTTTTTTTCCTCAGCTGAACCCTTTCCAATTTCATAAGTTTATTTTTTGACTTAATTTTTCATGAATAAACTAATGTTGCTCCCACCAAGCATTTAGTAAATGCTCACTGAGACCCTCCTATACATCAGGGACCTATGGTGTTTGAGATGGGTTTTATCTGCCGTCCACTCATTCACTGGGTGTCATGGTGTAAGCCATCCAGCCTGTATCTTTATAAGAGACCGATATTTGTGTTTGCTTGTTTTATTTTTCTATTTAAGTTTTTAAAGATAAAATGTTATGCGGGTCAGATTGTCCTTGAGTTCACTATGTAGCTCATAATGATCTTGACCTCCTGATGATGCTCTTGTCTCTATCACAGAAGTGCTGGGATAACAAATAAACACATGCCATCATACCTAGCAACAGATGAAAAGTCTCTGATATCAGCTTTTTTGTACTGCCTCCACAAAGTGGTATATGACATAATTAAAATCCACATGTATTATATAGATTAGAAGGTGAGCTCTTGTTATCTATACATAGATAATTTATGAGTATATTACTACATGCATAGTCAAATAAATGTATATAAAGAATGTAGAAACTTGGTTAAATAATTATTTTCTGCTTCTTTTGTTCTCAAAATGTTACTAGCAAGCAATATATTAATTCGTAGGGATTTTTATCATGAATGCATAGGCCTGCCTTCCTTTTGGTGGTGTTTCCCCTAAAATACAGACTTGAATTCCGTCTGGTAACTCAAGCCGACACTGAAGCTGCTGAAGCCCGTAGCGCACTGGCCACGATGTCAGCATGATGCAGCCACCACAAACAGCTGCTGGAAAGTCCAAAACCACTTCCCAGCAGATAAATCTGCACATCCTCGGCTTGCAGCTCAGCTCACAGACGCGGCACATGCTGTACCAGTGGGGTTTATCTAGAACTACTGGGAAGTGTACGGTTTCATGGCTCCCGCTGCAGTCTTATTATCTCTACAGGGATAGGTAAAGAAACGGTTTTTGTTTTTTATTTTTTAAAAGCTCTAATTCTAAATGAAAATGTGACTTATCAAATGGCATTTCCGGCTATGGAAAAGCAAAGCATAGATGCATAGCGACTTCAGACATTTTGTTATGAAAACCTGCAACCTTCTGCCACACGTCGAAATGACTGCTATGGCTTTGGGGCGGAGGCATCTAAAATTGCATCAGTAATGCTCTCCCCTGTGGTGAGATTGTCTGGGCTGTATCACAACAGCTGGACCCACCGGAAGCGACTTCTTTTTGCTCCAGGAATCTAGTGTATAGTAGTTTCTGTGTACCCAATGATGCATGGCCCATATTGTTGCTCTCAGAGCAAGAAAGCTGTCCTTGGATAGGGAGTAAAGGATCCAGAGGATCCTTTTGGTTCATTTTGGTGAAGAGAAAGATGTGAGGCACAGAAAGACTCAGCCTGGGTGGTAAAAAATTTCTCCTTCATCATGAGCATGAATGTAGATTCTATTTATTATTATTATCATTATTATTATTATTTATAGGGGATTGAGTCTATAGCCTCATATAAGCTAAGCAAGCACTCCACACTGAACTATCTCTTCAGCCCTCTTCTTCCTTTTCCTTTTGAGACATGATCTCACTAAGTTGTCCATGTTAGCCTTGTACTATTAGATATTTCGTGACATCATAAACATTTTTGCTTAACTCAATCTGAGAAGCAGAACACATGAATGTCAGAAATGATAAGCAGAACACGCTGTTCCATTGTTCACTCTGACTGAAAACAGTCAACATGTTTCTGATGCAGCTTTAACACCTCCATGGCCCTTAGAAGGCATCTATACTGATTCCTCAGGATGGCATGCTGCTAACACCCTGGAGCAAATGCTTCTTTGAGAGGTCTCTGAGAAGGAAATGCTTCTTTGAGTCCTCTTTGGAAGGATGGATTTATTAGCTTAGTTTGTAGGAAACATTTATAAAACCCCTTACCTTTTGACCAAGTAAGCCTGGAAAACCATGGATGCCATTTTCACCCTAAAAAGAGTAACCAAAATAAATCTTATTAGCCACAATAATATTGAGAAAGACCCACACACACACACCTTTTGTGTCTGTTGATTGTTTTTTTGAGACAGAGTTTCCTGGCTGCCCTGGGACTTGCTTTGTAGACCAGCTGGCCTCAAACTCACAGAGAACCACCAGCCTCTGCCTCCCAATTGTTGGGGAAGCTGCAGTGTTATGAGGTAAGGTATTTTTTTTTCTGGCTATCTGTCACATGCAGGGTCTTTAAACTTTTGTCAGGTCACAACTCCAGAACAATCACCTCAAGTTTTAAGATAAAGGGACGGAGGCCCTGAGATGCTAAGTCTCATAGTCCCGGTGTCATCCAACTTACAGCATCGCCTGAGATGTCCAGCGCATGCTCAATGTGTGTTCTATATGTTATGAAGTAATCTCTTCCCCCCCCCCTCTCTCTCTTTCTCTCTCTCTCTCTCTCTCTCTCTCTCTCTCTCCCTTCCTTTCTTCACCTTTGCTTTAAAATATCTGGGCAAATTAATAAATGCTTTTTATGGGATAGGCATCATTCCCTGAACAAACTTATCAGTGAGTTACTATTCTCGTAATCATCTTATATGAATGGACACACAGTAACTGGTCTTAAAACTCTTCTCCCTGAGCTGTGGCCAATGTCTTGCTTCCTACATGGTCTTTGTCAACCAATTTAATAGTAGTTTCTAACTTACCTAATATAAGATATCACATATGCACATATGCATAGTCCTACCACATTAGAAACATGCTTATTTCCTTATCCATATCTGTTGACTGCTGTGAAATCAATTCTACATGAAACAGTTCCCTTTCCACAGGGTCCCTGCCATGGGCATAAACATTTTCAGCAGATACCTATCAAGTTTTGTTACTGGAATTCTTGATCATTGCATTGACACTTCTGCTCTGGGGAGAGCACACCAGCTAAAAGATGCTCTATGAGGGTTTCAAGCATTCTCAGTAAACCCTTGTCTGTTTACTTCAGTCTAGGAATTCACCATGGCTCCCAAATGTCCAGACTCAGGCAGCTCCAAACAAGCTAGCAATGCTCTGACCTGCTTTACTTCTGTGAAATAGTTATTAAATTCACTTAGCAACAGTTTATAAGCATTCCTGAAAACATGGGCATTATTTCTCATAATAATAAATACCTGAAGGAGATTTCAGTATATTATGAAGAACATCATGTCTTCAAATTTTTCAATGACAATGTGATGCTTTGCCTAAATATTGGGTTCTTAATTTTATTACTAATACTTTTTTTTGGAAAGTTTTACTGTTTCTTTTTTTAAAAAACCAGAGATGTACTGTCATATACATGCACATTATTTTAAGAGCTAAGGTTTTTATTTGTTTAAATTATCAAAGTATTCTATAGTGTAGCTGCTGTCATCATAGTGAGGACACGACTTGGTTGTGATATGTAATTACATGAGGATGCATCCAAAATAGCATTCATTATCAGCGTGCTAAGTATTTCTACCACTTAGAAGTTATTACAGCTCTTGACCCTAGGCACCAGGCAGCACAAGTAGAAAGCTGTAGTAACATCTGATAAGGAGATAACAAAATTACATTAAGTATCCGATACCAAGGGGGATTCTGTGGGAATAGAGCATCTACTACTCATCACTGAAGTATGCCCACTTGTCCCTAAGAAGCATATTATTTTCCTCAGTTGATCTGATATAATATTTTATATCATATTGCAAATTACTCAGGATAACAAGATACAGCATATAATCCATTAAAGCACAAGGATACGGTATTTACCCTGCCAACAGCCCGTTTCGGAGAAAAGGGAGTGGTGATGGTTCTTCCCCTCTTCTTTGCTAGCTGCCAACATTTACATTTCATGTGCCCTGAGTGCTGGCCTGGGTGTGTTGTGAGTTGATGCTTTGTGAATATTGGAGTTGAAATACGGTGTTCCCCTATGACAAGTGTTAACTGGTCTCTTCTCTTTCCCCACATAGAGACTTAAAATCACCTCTAATTGTCTATAGACCATAAGAGGAGTGTGAGCATCCTGGTTCCCATCATTATATCAAAAAAGGGAGGAAAATATAGAATCACCATAAAAAACTTCAAAGGACATAGTTCATGCTAATGACAAGTATTGGTTCTGTAAAACTTCAAACTATTTAGGCTAGTAGCAGCAATCAGTGCTTATTCTGAAACACAGGAGCAAAGCCCACAGAGGTGCAGGCAGTCGGGATAAACCCAGATTTACATATAAAACCAGTATTTGCCTGACACTACTGGAAAAGCATGTATCAGTTTTGTGTGTGTGCACACGTGTGTGTGTGTGCATGTGTGTACATTTGTGTTTATGTTTCTGAATTCCTGCTGCCTTTTTCTCTAGTACCATCCTAAAGAAGGCATAGATGCTTCTCTTTTATTTCCCAATCAAGATTTTAGTTTATTATTGGAAAAAGTTACAACCAAGAGTTTTAAAGAAATTATACCTTCCAAAACTCATTTCTTGGGATATGCTTTCTATTCATGCCTTTTAATTCCTGGAACACACCTGGTGGGAGGAGCGAATTGACTCCCAAAAGTTGGTCTGTGACCTCCCTGTGTGCACCACTCACACATGAACACACTCTTACCAAATTAAATCAGACATTAACTGTATTTATATATCAAACACCATTATAAGCTTCTAACTAACGTTTTTTGTCTGATTCACACTGTGGAGCACAGCTTTCTGAACCAAAATTTCTGCCAAATCTTCCAGATCTTATACATGACACCCATTTGGGTCACTATTAAGGCTTCCATTCAGTAAACAATTAACAATAGTTTGGAATCTTAAAATTTGACCCTGCTCTTTGGGCAGTCAATACACCTTTTAAAATGTGGCTTGCAAAACTCAGCATATTATGTCAGAAATGGTCCCAAACAGAACAGAAAGCAAGACCATTACCCCCCACCACACACACACACACATATGCCATGCTGTTTTGGATGCTAAATTGTTCTTCTATTAATGTATTTTGCTTCTAAACTTGTGTTTGCATATACTGAGTTTGTAAGCAAGTATAAACACTACTAATATTTCCTTTCAAATGAAAAATTTCTATTTCCAATCCTTTTTAAGTTATACATGTGTAAGTTATAGTAAGCTTAAAAACACTAAACATCTTAGAAATTATCAGGGAGGTAGTAAAAGTTTCCTTCCACACCTAGTGAAGTTAGGGAGACAGCAACTTTTGTAAAATCGTATAAAAATCTGAGATTCCATGAAATTAATATAATCTTCTTAAAATGGATCTGTCCTAAACAAAGATTTGGGCTAATTATATTGTCAAATATAGGTTAAATACAGCCTCAATAAGTTTTAAACTGCAAAACCAAGGTAGGGAAATCAAGACCTTTAATCTGAATTATCTACTGAAAGATCTGATTGTGGAAACAGACACCTGCATTGCGCACTCCTCCAAGTGAAAGATGATTTAAGATACAGAGCTCGGTGCCATCAGCCAGCTCCTAATTGTGGATGGTGAGATACCAGTCACGGCAAACCATTTCCTGTCCAGAGTATTCCTCGTGATGAGTAATTTATAGTGTGAGTCCGTATCAGTTACCTCTGCTAGGGCTCAGCTGTGCCTCGGCCATCAGTTAACTTAGCGTTGGCCTTGCAGTAAGCGATCATGGAACCTTAGAGAATGAAACATTCCTTGAGATAATATAAGAAGCGAAGGGGATTTTCAATCTGAGACAGGGTGCACAGAAAGCCAGATAACAAAGGCTGGCTATGCTTTAGAAAGCAAGGAGGGCAGGAGACCAGGAAACGGGAAGCAAATTCCGGAGCTGTCATACACCATCCCTATTACATTTCATTCTAGAAGGCAGCACTTCTAAACATTGCTAGGTAGAGTTCCCTGAAGTTTGTTTTTACAGAAAGCCTTGGGAGTTCTTACTAATTCACCTTTCCCTTTCATCACTCAACGTAGTTGTCTAACAGCTGCTTATTTCCCTTCTGGACTTTGGGGTTAAGTTTCTTTGAGCTCTGCATAGCTCAGCAAACACTTATGGAGGTTCTATTAGCATGGGTGTCCTCTATCAGCATGTATGTCCATGTGTAGGCATCACAGATTAAAAAGACAATGATTCCTTCTAGTCCAGGAGCTCCCAGGGCTATACACACACAGATATTGGTGATGTAAGCAAAATACCATGTGAGGGGAATTGAGGAGCTTCCAATTTTGCTTACTGGACTAAAAACTTTCATAAAAGAGCTGCATGATCTTGGAATGTAGTAATCAGTAATGATGATGGTAAAGGATCAAACTATCAATTGTCTGAATCCATCTTCAATCTTTCAAATTTATCTGACAGCTTTATTTAAGATTGTATAGTGGTACATGTGGTCCTAACTGGGCTGGCTAAAAGATGCTTCTAATGGAACCACTTCAAGAAAGCTGTCTTCTAGAGCCACAAAGATGACTTAAACTGTTGCAGATATTTCTTTAAATCCACTGTTCAGTGTATCAGCAATCTACATGAGGAATAAGATAACTAGCTAGTTAGCTAAGCGATGTAATATTTATGTACTAGATACCAACTGCATGTTAAACCAAAAAGGGACATTAGCAGACTGGGTTTCGGAAATCTGGCTAACTGTTTGGTAAATAAAAGTCAAGTGCTTGGGTGCCAGCTAGGCTGCATGTGTTGAGTTCGTCCTCCATCTGTTGCGGTCTCTGCCAACTGCTCTACTTGGGATGTGAGTGGAAGGCATTAGAAGGGAGAAGCCATTAAGAAAGAAAGTCAGCTGCACAGGGAGCAGGTTTCTTCTGCCTATTTCTCTACTAGCTCTGTCCTCACAATTCTGCTCATTGCAGTGATGGATCCTATCAACATTCACCTCCTGACAAGACAACGACGAGACAGTCCACATCAAAGCCAGAGTTTTTCACCAATAAAGTTTTAGCCTTGGAACTTTAGCCAGTGAAACTAGAAAATATCACAGTGAAATGATA